TAGCCACTTCAACACTAGTGTCACAATGTGCTAAAAGTTCATACTGCCATGGGTAACTATGAACAGGAACTGTGAATTCTCTGCCTTCAGGCCATAATTACTCGTTATTGCAGGAAATGAGCTCCAAGCATTGTTGAATCCACTACAGAGTCTTGCTGTTGAGGACAAGGCTGCGCCAGGATGTTTTCCATTGTTTTTACCCAGTTTTTCTTCTAAGTAATTTTGTGCTCCCTTAATGAAGAGACCATTACCTTCATCTGCAGAAATGTCCTTTGCTTTCCTTTCATTGGTTCCATGAGACCATCAGTATTCAACAGAACTCCATTCTTTTCTGAACCCTCATAGCCTGTCCCCAGGATGGTCTCTTCTTTGTACAGCTTATTTGGTATTTACTAGAAATGACCGTAAAAATGCTAGAGTTCACTTAAAAAGATAGAAATCAAATGTTCTCAAAAAACAAATATATAGTGTATCTATCTATGTTCATATGTCATTGCTAAAATATTAAAGCTTATATGGAAGGCAGAACTCTTTTTTTTAAAAAGTGACAGATCAGAATCAGTTATTCAGATGTGGAAAATGAACCTCGATAATTAATTTGCCCAGAGCCTTACAGTTAGAGGTACAGTTCTCAACTGTTGTTCTGTGTCTAACATACCACACCAGCTGCAAACCAGTGCCAAGTATGTGTGAACTGCACTAAAGTCATCAGCTTTCCTTATTCACCACTTCCATATCTTTATGTTCTACCAGCCATAGAGCAAAATATTGGAAGAATTTGGTCAGTGCTGGACATAGTCCTTTTTTAACCTCTTTTTCTTTTGTCATGACTTAAGCAATGTAGTATATTAGGTATCTGTAGGCGATTTAAGATAGAGAGGAGTATATGCATATGTTTCAAATAAATACTACCATTTTAAATAAGAGACTTAAATATCCACATATTCTTGCATCTTTCAGGGTCTTGGATCCATTCCATAACAACATTTTGTTTTCTGTAATTGAGAACTATCCTTGAAGTCCCATTGGATCTAATATGCACATTCCTCATAAAATCAGTTGTTCTAAATCACAGACCCACTCAAATTCTACACACCTTCCACATATTCTGATTCATTGGCTGTATACTAATGATATTTACTACTATATATGCTATTATTATGTTACTATTAATTATATATACTATTTACTATACTCCCAGCAACTTGAATTCCAATCCTAACCAGACTTATTTTCTAAAACTTTGTAATCTTAAATATGTTTCTTTCTCTCTCTGAGCCACACTCATTATAAAATGCAGTTAAATTTAATGTTACCTAAAAAATGCTAATAGACGGTTTGACAATTAGCAAGCATTTAGCAAATATCTCTTCAAATCACAAATTACTTCCAATGTCGTGGAGGCTGCTCAGATGGCCTCCTGTGCCAACCTCTCCTACCTTTCTGGGTCTTTCCACCTTCCCCAGTTCTGCTACTGATTCGTTTGTGAGCAGTGCTGCTCACTGTAACTTTCCGGCTGCTGACTCTGTACCCTGGATTTCTGAGTCCAGCTGTAGTCTGTACTCCCCGTGGAGTGTGTCTTCACCTCAGTAGCCCACCTCTCTTCAGAAAATAGCTGGCATCCTTACTGTTTCTATTATGATAGGTTTTTGCTGTCTAATTTTATAAAAATGGATACAGTGCTAGAAATCACATCTTTATTCCCCTATAGCTAGAAATGATAACCAATGGAAATTGATTCCGATTTAGTAAGATAAAGTATTATCAAGTGCTGGTCCCTATCCATGTTTTTCTGTTCTCAGAATCATTCTAGCTTTGTCTCCTCAGTGTCCCAAAGCAATCTTCTTTGGTTGGCTATCAGATATCTATGATAAACTCTGGAGTGACCTGGGAAAGATTATTGTACAATACTAAAACACAGAATCCTTCCCAGGATCAGTCCTATGTTTCCAGGATCCTCAGTCTCCCATCCGTATGACCCTCCAAACAGTAGCATGAGCTTCCACTCCACCTGAGAACCAAACTGACATCTCTTAGTTTGTCCTGCACAGGTCCTTTTCCTTGTCCCTTGATTTCTTGTAACCGCAAACCTCTCCTGATACCCAACCCATACATCTGCTCCTGACCATAGATGCTCCTCTCCTCTACTCCTCCCTCACTGTGAAGAAATGGACATGAAAAAGATAAAAGAAAATCTCTGCTAGGAAAGAGGGAAAAATATTGTTTTATGATGTTAACTAGGTCTCTGTTACCATCTCATGTGCAGCAAACAACTGCTGGGAGACTCGTGTGTGTATTTTCTCTTTGCTTCCAAAGAACCTCTTCAGGATCCAGCAGTGTAGACTGACTTTCTCAAGTTTAGATGTACTTACCAGATGGGATAAAATTAGGATCCAAGTCTGTCTGACATCAAAGTTTGTGTGTTTTTCTTTTATACTGCTTTTAGTAGATCTCATTGATTTAGTCATTTAGTCATATTATAATATTATAGTTAGATTTTTATGTATACTTTAATAAAAGAAATATGTCTTAGTATTTTATTGCTATAGACACTGTTGACCGCAGTAACTCTTATAAAGGAAAACATTTAATTGGGCCTGACTTACAGTTCAGAGGTTTAGTCCATTTTCAGCATGGCAGCACAAAGACAGACATGGTACTGGAGAGCAGCTGAGACATCTACATCTGGATCTGCAGGCAGCAGGAAGAAAGAGTGACACTGGGCCTGGCTTGAGCTTCTGAAACCTCAAAGCCCTCAAAACAAGACCACACATACTCCAACAAGGCCACACCTCCAATAAATAATACCACTTCCTATGAATCATTGGGGGCCATTTTCATTTAGACCACCACAAAATATTTACTGAATACGCTGTGTTAGGGCTAGAATTACAAAGAATATTTATAAATTATCATGACAAGAAGGATATAGTTTACAGGATAATATATAAGTAGAAAATTGTGGTAAGTAGAGGCAAAGGAGACAAACTGGCCTATATCTGTATTGAGGAATCAGGAAGGCTTCAAAGGTTAAAAGGGAAATTCTGAAGTGTATAAGGTTAAATGAGTGATATTCATTTTAAAAATTAACCACTAGTGTAAATCTGGAAAACACCAGCCATTTTTCTTACTCCACTGAGAGTATATTGGCCAAGGTGATCAGAGGGAAAAGAGAGACAGTAATCATAGGGTTTGGCTGCTATGCAAAGACATGTCTGTTTTTGTTCACTACACAGTGTAATGTCATTGGAAATACTTAAGTAGGGGAATGGGCTGTTCAGTTTTACCTCTTAAGAGAAGTAAGTATTGGTTAAAGAAAATTGAGTTAGAATGGGAATAAATGAAAACTTCTGAGGCAGTGAAGGTGGGAGCTAAGCAGTGGGGCAGAGAGGACAGCAACTCTAGGCAGTGGTTGGCAGACAGATGTGTAGCGGTATTTAGTTCTGCAGGTTTGTACTGTTGCAATACCTTATCATCCCTTTCTTTTCTGTAAATTAAAGATGAGTTTCAATTCATGATAGGACTTTCACTTGACGTAAGCACTTACTTTGCATGATTTTCTTTTTGTATTTTCACATCTGGATCATAGAGTGAAAACTTGCGGAGAACGCTCATAAATTTTATGAAATCTTTCAGCTTCATAATGAAAACTTCAAAGTTAAAACCATATGGTTAGTCCATCCAACTGTAGATGTGAGCCTTTGGTCTGGAATTTATTTCCAGTCACATTACAATACAAAATCAAAAGTAAAATTGCTTTTGTTAGTCCTCATTACAACTTCTAAGTGCATCACCATATTGCATTAGTACAGTTACTCATTTCTCTTTTCTGTTCTCTAAGATGGTCTCGAGCATTGTGATTTCTGAACCACATTATTTTCTACATAGCATTCATTATAACTCATTTGTCTTGTACATCTTAATGAAATTCTGCTTTGTCGAAAAAGTAAACACACAGTGTTTCTCAGAGCTATGTGTGGATGAAACATTCAACACACATACTTATATATCCACACATGTAAATATATCTATGTCCAGGCTTTTGGTGTATAGCTAGGAGCCCAACAGGTGCTAATGACCAATTTGAGTGTTCTATCATACTAATCATTATATCCAAGAACCCTGGTCCATTTCCCTATATTGTACATAAAAGAGCATAGATTTTATTTGACAGATTTTTATGATTATTTTACTTTTTGTAAATCATAGAACACAGAGTTGAAAATTTAAAGCTTATGAGAATATATTTGCACTGATACCACAGAATGGTAGTAAGCCATACTACTAACATAGATTAAATACAACATTATAATACCTTAACATCAGTGAGATATTTACTGTAAAGTATCATTGTAATAGATTGCTAGGTACATCTCAAAAAAAAAGCTAGCACAGTCCCAAAACTGTATAACTGCCCAGTATCATATTAACTTACATGTCTTTCAGTCAGCATTCTGCAGAATCTCATTTAATTGAAATCACTTTGCCTATGTAAACTTCTCCTCTGTTTATATAAGATTTCACTGTTTAGTTTTGCCTTAAGCAAATGCAGCCTTTTGTTTGTTCATAAAACATTAGATTGGATGTAAAGTCTAATACGGATTGCTTCCGTCACTGATCATGGACCACAGGCAGTTGCCAATGCAGTGTGCTCTATTGTCATTAAGAATTGGCCTATATCCTTAGTCTGCTCTTTCAGAAAAATATTTTTTAACAAAAAAAAATACCCTTTTTCCCTACAGTTACTGGTTTTACATTTGAAAGACAGTAAAATTTACATTTTAAATGCTCTTGATGCTGTGAATTATCTATTTATTCAAAAAAATGATGTTTTTCTTATTTCTAGAGACACTAATATCTAACTTTTTTTTCTGTCCTCAAAAGGGTATATTTATATTTAATCCTTCTATGGGAAGTTCAGATTGTTCCCCAACTTAACTATAGCTCAGTTTTTAGTTTCTGTTCTGATACATAGTAGTTTTAAGATATAATGCTTCATTTTCCTGCTTTTTGTTGTCGTTGTTGTTAAGGCTAACATGATTTTCCTTATCCAGGCCATGTTGGATGTGGCTGCAAGCCAGGGCTGGCTGGTGACTGTCCTGAATATCACCCACCTGGTTCAAATGGTGATACAAGGCCGGTGGCTAAAGGATTCTTCTCTTCTTACAATACCAAACATAGAACAGCACCATCTTCACCTTTTCAGGTAATTGTTTTGTCAATGTAATTATTTTAATTAAAAAAAAAAAAACTCTTTAATGGGGTCAGGGGCTGAGATCCCGCCCAGTGGTCTATACATGCCATGCTTGAGCCCAGTCACTGTGACCCACACAGCCACAAAGGCACTGCTCCTCTTCACACTCACAGAGCTACTACGGTCCCAGGTTTTGCCTAGGACATTGATTCTTTCAGGTTGAAAATAACTCTTTTCCAGGGGGAGAAAAGTCTGGGTTGTGTTATAATAGCCTCCCTTGGAATGGGGTTACTAGCCCCAAGATGAGCAGCAAGTTTAACCTCTTATTATCTAAACCCTTTCCCTTTTGCAGCGTTGGTTGGTCATACGTATACTTTAATTGAATTTATTCCCTTGCAATATCAGCCTCCATTTAAGACATTGATAGTGTACTTTGTGATCAAGCATAAAATAAATTGCCATTTTCTTCTGTAATACAAGAGAATTAAGGAATCTGAATTGTTTTCAAATGAACATTATACTTCTGTAAAATATTTTAAAATGTTGTTTGATACACTGGAAGAGCTATGTTAGCATCAAATTATTTAGCCTTAGGCCTCGTGCAATAGTTATAAAGGTTTTAGCCAGAGGGGAAATTGCATAATACATTGGTAGTATTTAAATGAAATATTTTTTTCACACCAGTGCTTCATATTTGAGAGACACTTTTCAACCAAAACCTAGTTTTGCAGTCATGAAACAAAGTTTGCATGAAGCTTGCCATCGTGTTCCTTTTGTAATATTATCAGCCAGGAAAGGTGTTACAATCATTAGAGCCTATAGATAGAAATAACAACAAAACCCTCAGGCATGGGTTGGGGGATGTAGCTCAATTGATAGAGTACTTGTCTAGCAAGTAGGAAAGCCTTGGTTTAATTCCCAGCACTATGTAAACCAGTCCTGTTAGTATACAGAACATAGGAATTGGAGGCAAGATCAGGTGTTCAAGGCAATCGTCAGCCACACATCAAGTTGAAGGTTAACCTAGGTAACATGAGACCCTAGGAGACTCATACGAACAAAACAAACAAATAAATAAATAAAATACCTTAGGCATATATAGAGTCCCTCCAGGAGATCCTCTTATTTAATTCAAATATATTGGGCTCCGTGGCACTCTCAAGATGTTTGAGTCTACCGTGGGATATCCCTGAAAAATAATACAATTGTGCTTAGAGAAAGACATGCTAGTAGGAAGTATTAAGAGGAGGCAGACACCCATATGTGTCTAGCTGTCTCAAAATCCTTTAGCTGCATTAGTAAATGTTACAAACGCTGGATTCCAGCAGTAAAGAAGGCATATTAAGGGACCAGGAGGTCTATTATAAGAAGTAAGAACTAGCAGGGGCCTAGGAAATCCTCTCTAGTTTTCTGGAAAAACCTTAAGAGTATGAGTATGATTCCAGTTGTATTTTTTTCTTAGCATAAAATCTAATGGCCTGTGTTCCTGTAGACACCCACTATCTGTGAAACCTAAGTATTGAATGTATAGATTACACTTTACATATTTCATATAGTAGTAGAGATGACTTAGAGAATACTGAGTGTTATTTAAAAGTTAGCATAGTGGCATAAAAAATGTACATCTATTTTTTAAAAAACTGTTAAAGCCACTGTCATCATTTGGCTGTGAAGAAATTATTTTATTGGTGTATATTGTTTCATAGGAAATGGAAACCACCAGTAAAGGGCCCACATGCTAGGCCAACATCCATCGAATGCCTTCCTGAGCTGATCCATGCCTGTGAAGGGAAAGACCATATATTCAGTTCCATGGTGGAGAACGAATTACAGTCAGCCAAAACAAAGCAGGTATATCCATCTCTCCTCCAGGTCAAGACTCCTTAACTTAGAACAAAGTTTCTTCAACTGTGGGGCACCAACCCATGTGGTAATGGAATCATGCAAAATTGGTAACAGTGAAGGGTTTTTGACATAATGACCGAAAGTTAATTCAAAATCAAACATATCATGCCTCTGATGTGTTCCAAGCATTTATCATCCATGTTTCATGTCACAACCTCACTGCAGCCTTGATTCTAACACATAGTAAAACACACCTTGCATTGTGTGTGCTGTTATGCTTCACAAGGCCAGTGACTGTTACCTGAAACACCTTAGTTTAAATTTGGGACTATTGTATTTTTTAAATTACAGTATTTTTTACTGGACATATAAAGTTTTCCTCTCTTATGGAAACATAATGGTTTAATTACTGAGAGCAAAAACATTGAATTTCATTTGGGGGTAGAGGGTGTGCCTGGGCATATATACAATCCCTTCAGTTACTGGTTTATGTCTTATGTCTTACATTAATCATTTTTCTCTTCCTAGATTATAAGAGAGTCTTTTAAATACTCACCTTTTGTGAACCATATGACTTGTATATACAGTTAGATTGCTGTTGTGAAAGGCAGAATAAGTTGTCTATCCAGTCTTTGGGGAAAGAAATATCATGAATGAATGATGCCAGATATATTTGACTTTCTAGATTTTAAGTTGTTAGCATTTTATCCTGAAATTTTAAAGTAAGTATTCAACATTTCTTCACAATTCTGCAACTTCAGGTATTGAAGAAACTTTTTCTAAACCATGTTTCTTTTCCAAGTGAAACTTACTTTAAGTAAGACTTGGTAAAAGTGTAACAGGCGTAAGTATCTGATTGACTGTTCAGTTTCTGTTGAACCCCAAATTGACACAAATCATTATTTAAATATTCATAATAAATGCCTATCTTTCTAACCAAATTACCATGAAAATTATGAATAAAAACATCTCTGAATTCAAACAAGACTGCTGTTAGCAACAACAGATTTCTCGCATAACATACACTGATTTCAAGCCAAGTTTTAGATGTGATGAAAAATTAGAACATTGTTATAATTAGTTGAGGGAAAACTCAGAAGTAAACTTACTTAATTTATTTGCATAAATTGCCATTCTGTTATCTTTAAAACCAAATGCAAATTGGCTCTGTCTGATATGATGATGGTTATTTGGCTCAAAAGTGCTTCAATTTGCAGAGCAATCTGGTGTCGGCTCTGCAGTGAGGCGATCCCAGGTAACATACAAATCCTGAATTATTCCAGAAATTAGTATGTTTAAAGCATCAATTTAAGTGCTAATTGCAGTAGTAATGAGAAAAAGCAGTACAACTGTGAGATTTGCATCTCCTACCCCATCAGTATGCCTGGAACGGCTGCTGACTGGCAGAGGATTTGGCTGCTAATTAAATAATTGTATGCATGGCAGTGATCTTGCCTGATTCAATAGATGAAGATTAATCCTCAGATAAATATGTTTGGCTGGTATTGAAATGTCTTAGCCGTTTTTCTTAAAAATAGCTCATGATATGTGTGTATGTATGCATGTATGTATATATATCCACATGCACGTATATATTGTGTATATATTTACATATATACATATATACACACACATAGTAAGTAAATGTGTACACATTATAGGCTGAAAAATTATACTAAATCCTTCCTAAAGATTCATACTTGTAAAAGCCAAGATACTTTTAAGAGAATTGTAGCATAATTCAAAGAGTTGCTCAAAGCAGAACACATTTTATTGGTAACTAATTTATTTGTGCAAGTAAAAAGAAAGAGTAATAATGTTTGTTTCACATATGTCATCTCATTAAATAAATGCCCTACTGAATTGTATGTCTCCTTCACCAATTTTACATGTTGGCCTGTCTTAAGTAGGGCAGTTTCTCTGCTCACTAACTACTAGTTCTGGCAAGGGCTCAGCCAGCATGTGTGCTTAAACTCTGTTCTATAGCTGTTTCAGAATCTAGTTCCAGGCATAATTTCAAATTGGTAAGAAAAAGTTATTGGATTCAATTCTCATTGAACTAACTTTTCTTCCTTTTTTTTTTTTTTTTTATTCCTGAGGGTGGTTTGACTCATCCTGGCTACTTCATCTCAATTACAAACACTCAGCAGCAGTAAAACCACAGTGAACAAGCAATTAAAGTCTAGAAAGAAAACTGTGGTATACATTAAGGAATCAAAAGAAACCAAAGTGAAAGTGATCATGGGCTTTTAAAACTACATTAGGAAGTATTCTAGATTGATAGTAAGTTTGCCACATACCTGTAAATCTTACAAAAATGATAATTACCTTACCACCTTGAGTTTCTTGTGGTTTCTAGTAATATAAACTTTCAATTTTTTTCATTCTACATTGTTGAGCACTGACTGATTATTTGCAAGTGTCTTAAAGAAGATGCATAAAGTGGCAAAATATTTCCATTCTTTTTAAGTTTATTTTTTTCTTTGTGTCTTTCACATCATGCATCTCAATCCCATTCATTTCCCCCATCCCTACACACCCACCTCTGCCCCTGCAACCTCTCCCCCAAAATAAAATAAAATCTAAGAGAAAAAGGAAAAAAAATGATCAATCTCGTCATGGACACTGTAGTGGGACACAGTAGATCATGCAATAAACCCCTTTTTCTATATATCTTTACTTGCAAGTGTTCATTGCAAAGAGTCATGGGTCTAGTTCAAAACCTCTGGTTTCTGCTACACTATTGATGCTAGGCCTTCACAGGGACTCCTCTTGGATATCCTGTTGTTTCCCTGTATCTTGGAGAGCTCGTAGCTTTGAATCTGCAGGACTGTCCCCTTCATATGTTCCAGAAGATTGTTATTGCGGTGGATATTGGGGGTGGGGGGGGCGCCAACTCATAACCCTGGTTCTGGACCTGGGTACTTAACAGGGTTGGTCACCCTCCCATTTCTCCCCTGTCCTCACCACCAGGGTGAGCTCTCCAGCATTGTCGTGGCTACTTAACCCCTTGCAGTGATAAGCAAGGTGTGAAGCCAGTTCTGCTGTTAGACCCTCATGTCAGCTCTCCTAGACCTACACCATCAGGGCCAGTTCTACTGTACTGCCCAGACAAGGTCCAGGGGCCACATATTTTCCCTCTTTATAGGTGATGTTTTAATTAGTACTGTCGGAATAACAATGCGAAAAATATTTCCAGACTAAATTCCAGAATTACAGGGCTCCCTATGAATTATAGCTATTACAGAATTTTACTATAGAAATTTACAGAAAAAAATTAGAATGTGAACAAAAACAGTTGTGTTGTGCCATGTTTCATTAAGTTGTTTAATGAAAGACACTGACATCAATTTATTTTCAGGTTGTCTTTATAGGCCCACATAATGTTCTCCACATTAAAAGTCACTTATAATATCTGAATAAGCACATCTCTAAAACAAAACCGTTAACAATAAACTTTGTTGCAGGGGAGGCAAGGATTCCAGACTGGGTTTCTCTGTGTGGCCCTGGCTCTCCTGACTCTTGTAGACCAAGCTGGCCTCGAGCTCACAGAGATCTGCCTGCCTCTGCCTCCCGAGTACTGGGATTAAATGTGTATGCCACCACTACCTGTAACAGTAAACTTTTAATCATGTTTACTTTTTAGTATAGCCAGTAGTTACTTAAATCAGGTGACATGTACAATAAAGAGCAAAGTTTAGATTGCAATGTCTTTTTTTAAAGCAAAGTTGAAATCATGAATTTTCCACGTTTACAAGTATAATAAAAGAGAATGAAATATGAATGAGTAGATGGGTCACAGCACCAGCAATATCCTAGTAGCAGCATAAAGCTGGGGAACGTATAAAGTTTCTCTGTATTATTTCAACAGCTGCATGAACACAGATTTATTGTCAAAGTCAAAGACCAACTTTCTAAAAGCACACCATTTTATAGTTGTTCACTGCGTTTTCCACTAATTATTCCTTTATTATTTTTCTTTTTTATTCAGGCATGGAATTTCTTATCTCGCTTGCCAGTGATGAATGTTGGCATAAGTGTTAAAGGCTCATGGGATGGCTCAGTTGAAGGACATAAAGAACTCTCCATTTCAACTCTGACAGCAGACAAGCGAGATGACAACAAGTGGATCATGTTGCATGCTAATCAGCAGTATGTGCTTCAAGTCAGCCTGCAGAGAGTCCATTTTGGGTTCCACAAGGTGTAGCATTTGCTTTCTATCCTCAAATATTTCACACCAAGTATTTGCATGCACCACCACACATATCTTTTCTATTACTAATGTGACCGTGTCATTCATGAATCCTGCTTTCTCAACTGGCATTAGCAGCTAGTGTTGGTCTTTTGAAATTCGTCAGTTCTCATGTGCTGTTTTTCATGTCCAGAATTTCCCTCCACCTTACCTTGCCTGTCGCACTATACTCCTAGATTTCTTTAGCTGGTGTGCCTTTTAAAGTATAGAGTCCTTGAATGCCCTCCATTCTAACCAAAACAGAATCTCAGGGATCTGATACGCTCCTAGGTGCACCCAGTATTTTGAAGGACATTAAACTCTGAGAAGCACTGCCTCGGAGGATCTTGATGTGCAGGATCTACAATACACTAGATGCAAATGAGGCTGAGCTTTCCTCTGCACCTGAATAACACACTAAGCTTTTTTGAGGCTCAGTTACTGTATCTGTCTGCCTCCTTCATTTTAATGCATTAAAGAAAGCTTTGTCAGTTTCATGCAGAGAAAAATGTTTAAGATGTGTGTCTTGATCATTGAAATATCCTCTTGGTAGATTGCTCCTTCACCACTGTAAAGTGAACTTCTAATTGTAGTTAGAAGTCTAGGTTTTTTCAGCACTAGCTACACCTGCTAGCTTGCTCGTTTCATATGCTTGAGATACTTTTTCCTGTCCTTTCACCAACCTAAGGTTGTGTGTCTTTGATAATTACATATGTTTATTGAAGGCAGCAAATATATGACGCTTTGGGGGTGCTGAATGTATGTGGTGCGCACACAGGTGCATATACACTTTGTACAGATACATGTGGAAGCTAGAGATTGATGTTGGTGTCTTCTTCGATCACTCCTAACCATATATTGATTCAGGGTCCCTCAGTGAACCCAGAACTCGCTGATACAGCTCATCTAGTAAGGCACTGCAGGATCCTTTTCTCTACTTCAGAAGTACCAAGATTATAGGTAGGCCGCCACAGGTACCTGGCACTTCTGTGGGTCCTGAGGATTCAAACTTCAGTCTTCACACTCACACAGCAAACTCCTTACCCACTGAGCTATCTCCCCAGCCCCTGGATCTTAGTTTTAAATCTTGCCTCTCAGTGTCTTATATAGGAAAATATTTAGTTGGTGCTGGCTTACGGTTCAATACTTTAGTCCACTGTCATCATGACAGGAAGAATGGCAACATGCAGGCAGACATGGTGCTGGAGAGGTAGGTGGCTGGGGCTTCTACATTTGGATCCACAGGCAGCATTAAGTGACAGTGGCATACCAGACTGGACTTGAGCATTTGAGACCTCAAAGCCCGCCCCATAATGATTCGCTTCCTCCAACAAAGCCACAGCTCCTATAGCAAGGCCATACCCATTAGTGTCAGTCTCTGTCAGCCCACGGGGCCCATTTTCATTCAAATAACTATAAAGGTGTATGTTAATGCCTGTCATTTCCTTGATTTTTGTAATGTTTAGTTCTTCCTCCTGATGACTTAACTGCTGTTCTAGCATGGTTTATTGTTTTCTTGTGGGTCAAAGGATTCCCTCAAATATTTGTGATACTGGCTTACCTTTCACAAATTCCTTCAGACTGTGTTTGGTATGGAAATTATTCCCTTCTACTTTTAGACCAAAAGGTGCTAGATATTGTGATATGGATTGACAGTTACTGTCTTTCAGAACTAAAAGTAGGTTGTTACATGATGTCATGGCTTTTAGACTTCTATTGACAAATCAACTGTTCTCCTGGTGTATTCACCTTTATAAGTGACTTGGTTCTTTTCTATGTTTTGCGTATTTAATGTTTCAAGTATAATATGACATGGGAAAGTTGTCTGTCTGCTCGGCATTGTAAATGCCTCATATATCTACATAGCCATCTCTTTCCCTCAATTTGGAAAATCTGCTGTTTTTATTGAATATATTTTCTATGCCTTTAGCTTCTCCTATGTCTCAAATTCATATATTTAGTTGTTAATGGTGTCCCATAGATCTTGTGTATTCTGTTTATACTTTCTCATTATTTTATTTTCGTCATTGTCTGAATGTTCTCTTTTGTGTATCTTGTCTTCTAGCTCTGGTATTCTGCCTTACACTTAATCCATTCTATTGGTAAAGCTTTCATTGATTTTATTTGATTTACTGTGCTTTAATTTTCAAGAAAATCTAATTGCTTTGCATATTTCTCTACATTTAGTTCCTCCTTTTATCATTTCATTATGATGTGCTTGTACATACACAAATGGGTGAAATGGGAGTGTGTGCACATGCGTGGAGACCATGGGTGTTGTTCCTCTGGAGCCATCCACCTTATTTTCCACCTTACTGTTTTTAATGGGGTTTCTCACTGTCCCTGGGGCTTACTGATTATCTAAGCTGGCTCACCAGCAAGCCCTTGGAATCCTTTCATTCCACCTAACCAGTTCTGAAATTAAAGCCACACACCACTATGCACACTTGCATACTTTCTTCCAGCCTCATAAGTTCCTTTGTCATACCCTATATTGACTTCCTAAATTCATTCAAGTGCTTTGTTTGAATTGTTTTTAATGTATTCACTGACATAAAATGTCTTCTATGACATCAAAGATTTTTATGGCATTAAGTTTTCGTCTAGTCCTTCATTTGAAAATTTGTCAAGGATTTTATGTAATTTACTTTTATTTGGAATCTTTTATTTTGGAATTGACCATTTTCAAAGAAAGCCCATTGCCACGATTTTTCATGTTTATTGTTCTTTGTTGGGACTTACCTATCTGAGCTTAGGTCATTAGTTGGGATGTGTTTGTTTGTTTGTTTTAAAATTGTATTATTTCAGTTGAACTATTTGCAGTGTTCAAGTAGACTATGTTGTAGTATGGGTGAAGTGTCATTTCTCCCACTGGTGACTGAAGTTTAGGTGCTGTAGTTAAGCACTCATTCAGCGTACATGCTCAAGAAAACAGACGCAATCTCCATCGCCAGTCTTTTTGCAGGAAAATACCAGCTAGGCGCAGGCGCAAACAGTCCCAGTCCTGCGCTAGTATAGAAACGGGTTTAGGGCATCCTGTGCCACCCTTCACCTGTTGTGCTCCGGCATCCTGTGCCACCCTTCACCTGTTGTGCTCCGGCATCCTGTGCCACCCTTCACCTGTTGTGCTCCGGCAGTGCACAGCTAAAGGGCAAGCCTATCTATGCAACTCCACTCCAGTCTAAACTTCAGACTCTATTTCCACTTTGTAGAACATTGTAACAGTTAGGCTTAAAGTTTAAAAAAAAAAAAAATCTCCTCAATCTTAGAAAATCTCCAGACTGGATTTCAGAGTATAGTCTCTTGGCATTTCCCCTAAGTCCCCAGAATGAACTGCACAAGACCCTCCTCAGCCTCTAGAGCTCCCGGAAATAAATAAGTAGATGGATGGATGGATGGATGGATGGATGGATGGATGGATGGATGGATGGATGGTTGAGTAGTAAGTAAGTAATAAAGTAAAATATATCTTTTTATGTAGATTTTATTCTTGGACAGAACAAAGGGTCTGCTTTTGTTTGTTCATTATTATGAGGTTTATTGTCTAGTCTTGACTAACGTGTTCATTTGCTGACTTTTTTCCCTCACTATCAGTTCTTTGTGCATGCAACTTTGGAGGATTTATGTAACATTTAAATGTAAAAATGTACCTCAGATTTTCATTCTGTCTATGGAATGTTAATGTTTATTTTAGGAATGGCGTGTAAACTGAATGTCATGACTCAGAACTTTCTGTTCTAGCTGAACTGAATGTTTTGATAGTCATAGTCACAGGGTGGCTCCTTGATATGCTCTGAGAGCCTTAAAGAAAGGGAACTAAAGACATAGTAAAGAAACGCAACCAGAAAGGAAGGGACTTGAAAACATCCAGCTAGATGTAATTGAGCTTGAATTCAAGTGAAACAGCATAGCCTTGTAAACACACCCGACAGACAGGAAATATAGGCATGACTCATGTTTTATCTTTCTTCTGGTTTTCAGGGAAGACATGAGAGTTATGCAGTTACTCCTCGATTTCCCAAAGTAAAAGATGAAGGATGGTTTTTGATATTAGGAGAGGTGGATAAGAGAGAGATGATTGCTTCAAAACGAGTAGGATTTGTTCGAACTCATCATGATGCCTCGCTCTCTTTCTTTACTCCTGAAACACCTGGAAGGTAAGCAGCACCATACAATCAAGTTTCAAAAAAGTGAAGTGTGCTGATTCTCTGTCCTGAAAAATCTACATTTACTGGAGTATGTACTAATGACCTTCTGTATAGGTATCACCTTTCACCTATATTAATTATCATGTTTAAATACATATTCGAACTATTAATCACCAACTTTTAAAATATGGCTGCAAATTTACATTTTTATCTCAGGTTTTTCTTCTATTACCATTTTTTGTAGACAGTGGTATGTTTCATAAAGATGCTCTCACATGTATCATGTACTTTCTGTTTTTCTTATTTCAGATACATCTTCACCCTATATCTCATGAGTGACTGTTACCTCGGCCTAGACCAGCAGTATGACATTTATCTCAATGTGACAAAAGCAAACCTTTCGACACAGGTCAGCACAGAGATCTCCGATGCCTTCACTGACTTGGCAGTATAGTAACCTGACCCAAGGCCACTTGAAAGAAGTGACTGAGAGTCTTGGCTGTTCAGTCATGTGGACAAGATGAATTACTTGGTGTCTACCTTGGCAGAATCAACTTCTAACCTCAAAACATCTAGGAGATTGACAGTGGCTGCCATGGTGATTTCCAGCAACATTAGCCACAGAGGCCTTTTAGAAAGTGCTGCTTTTTGTAACGGCTTCATGGGTTTCTTTAATGTAAGATAAGTAAACATGTAACATGATTTTTAAGTTGTATATGTTGGAGGTGACAGATATGAGTTATCCTACTTTGCATCTCAAGTGTACTGTTTACATGAATGCCATCTACTCCTTTTTCTATTGGGAATTCCATCAAGACATAACAGGTTAGGAGTTTAAGCAATATAAAACATGTAAATCTGTGAGGTAATCCAAGCTGGGTATTATCAGCAAAATTTATGCTTTGGTCTGATCACATGTAGAAATAGTTTCACAGATTTCTTTTTAAAGATAATAATATATGATATAAAATTGTATTGCAGAGATCAGTGGTGATTTCTTAAAGAACATACATTGATTTCAGAGAATGTAAACACTGTAACTGGTGAAAATAAAATATATAGAGTGCTCCTTCCAGAAAACCCAGTCTGGTTTTTTCTTGTTACCTTCCCATTATATCCCCTGATCCTCATCTATTCTTTTTTCTTTCACTTTTCAAAACTACTTTCCTTCGCTGATATTTTTTCCCATACAAGAGGAAAGTTCAGTGTAAATCATAATTTTTTGTTTGCCTTTGGGGTTTGGTTTCATTCAGTTTTGCATCTCAGGTTCTCACCGAGTAATCTAGCCTGGCCTCAAACCTGGGGCTCTTCTCCCTCCATTTCCCAAGTGCTGGATCTCCATGAATACACAGCCAAACCTAGCTATAATTTTTTTGTCTTCATATTCAATCCTACAAATGGATCAACTGTAATAAAGGAAATATGCTTATTCAAACAAGTTCTGTCTTGAAGAAGAGCTATTCAAAATGTATTTAGAAAGTTCATGTCTACATAATATACATTTTAATGGAATGTAATTGTCTTTGCAAAGTAATTCTTGGCCCCAACACAATTATAACTATTGCAAATTCTAGAATGTAAATATTTCTCAAGTTGGAACTTCCAAGTTGTGTTTCTCTTTCTATGCTGAGGAAGTCAGAGAGAAAAGAAGATTTTTTTTTTAAAGATAAAGTGGGGACATGCACTCTATGCTCTTTTTAGAATATAGATAACTACTGTGACCACATGTGGGGGGATGAGATATATGGAGAATTCTTGTCTCAGAATGACTTCACATAAATCACTTTTTGTACTTTTCCTTCAGAAGAGTTTATTTCCTAATTGAAATTTGTACCTTAACCTCTGGTTTAATCAGATTAAATGAAAAATGAAAATTACATCTAAAAAATAATCACCAATACTGACAGGAATCTGTGTAGAAACAACTTTATATATTCTATTAATGTCATCTTTCTCAGAGAATGAGCAGGTCTTAGGAAGTAAGGAATGCATTTCACTGGACATATTAATATGACATAGGAGAAATAAGAACAAGTCTATCTCCATCAGAAAGGCAAGAATCAGTAGGGCATAGTGAAGCATGTCTTTAATCCCAGCACTCAGGACAAAGGCATGTGGTCTGCGGGGCAAAGACCAGACTTGTCTACAGCTCCAGTGACATAGTGAGAGACCTTGTCTCAAAATGAAAAGAAAAGAGAAAGAAAAGGAGGAAAAAGACAGGTAAGAATCTGACATTAAAATTGTTTAACTCTGAATCAACCAGAAAAGATGAAGTATATACTAAGATAGAAAGATTGGTCATGTTTCTATCATAAGCCCCAGGTTGAGAGCCATTTCTCATAAGCCCCACATTGAGGGCCATTTGTCATGTCCGGGACAAATACTGTGTCCTGCCTGGCTTATCTGTTCGTGCCTGGAGAGAAGAGTGAGGACTAAGGAAGAAACAGACTAGAGACAACTGATAGAGTTGGGGGAGGGAGGCATCTAGTAAATACTGAGATTCTCTTAGTGCTTATTTCTCATAGGGTTTATATACCCCAATCCAAAAAAAAAAAAAAAAAAAAAACAAAGAGGGGGAGAAGGCAAGAGGCTTCTTTACCATGATACAAGGAACAAACAAAGTAATTATCTTCTTAATACCCAAAACACCAAATAATAACACCTTAGGTCAAAATATCCTGGTAGTGGCCACACCTTAGGTCAAACCTCCTGTCGTGAAACCTTGAAGGAACAAGAATAGGTCTGAACTCTCTGACCTTTAGTCAAGGTGGAAGGGATCCACTTCTGCTTCTGCATCATTTCTGAGTCAGTGACTTTATCTGCACTCATTGTTCCCCGGGCGCCATTCTGTTGTGGGAGCAGAGGGCCTGCTTTTCGTCCCTCCTGGCTCCCACACGGCTAGCTTTACACCAGAAATAACAACACAAATTGTATTCATTTAAACACTGCTTGGCCCATTAACTCTAGCCCTTATAGGCTAATTCTCATATCCCGATCAACCCATCTCTAATAATCTGTGTGCAACCCATCTCTAATAATCTGTGTAGCATCAGTCTTACCGGAAAAGATTCAGCATGTCTGACCTGGCAGCTTGCTTCATGGTGTCTGCCCGGGAAAGGGGAGCATGGCCTCTGAGCTCACTTCCTCTTCCTCCCAGCATTCTGTTCTGTTTACTCCTCCCACCTATGTTTTAACCTATGAGGCCAAGCAGTTTTTTTATTACTTAACCAATGACCTTCCTCCATCACCGCACTTTAGAGGAATCAGACCAATAGAGTCGGCCAATAGAGTCTCATTGGTGCTACTTTTTTAGATCATTGATTTCTTATCTCTCTTAGTGGCCAAGAATTTCAACATTGTTTAAAATTATCCAAATCTTAATTTGGGGGAGATCTTTTAAGAAAACATAGAGTGATGAAAAGATTGAGTGTTCCATCCTACAAAGTAGAGGTTTCCTTTTTTAACTTTACTCTGTTGATCTCGTACGTGTATATAATGCATCCTGCTCACACTCACCCAAATCCAATATTATACACTTGCTACCCAAGTCACCCTCCTTCCCTACCAGGCCTTTCCTGCTTTCTTGTCATTTTGTTTTGTGATTCACTGAATGTAACCAGGACTGTCTGGATAAGAATAGGTTTGGAGCTATCAACTAGAGTATTGGGAACTCAGCAGAGATTATACCACTGAAGTCTGTAACTTATCCAAAAGCCTTCCCTGGGGAGGGTAGAGTCCTATATCCCCCTCCTCCATGGATGACTGAATATGGACACAACCAGTCTTGTGCAGGCAACATGAGTTCATGGTTATAATGGCCACATCATTCCCTGAAGACAGTGCTTCCCAGGCCTCCTCCCCATCATCCAGCTCTTAAATATTTCTGCCACCTCCTCCATAATGTTTCCTGTAAAGTAAAAAGGTGATATTAACATCCCAGTTAGGGCTAAGTGCTCAACAGTCACTTCTCAGTACATTAATCAACCATAAACCTTTGTATTCACTGTTTGTTGGCGGTGGCCACTGATTTGATGAATACTGAGAGCAGCACTTGTCTGTACATATAAACATAAGTATTTAGAAAGCAGTCTCATGCAAGTCCTTTAACAAAACTAGGAGGAGGGCCCACTTGTTCATCCCGGCTGCCCAGCTAGTTTAGCCCCAAAATAATCACACAGAAGCTTTATTAATTAAATCACTGCTTGGCCCATTAGCTCTAATATCTTATTGGCTAGCTCTCCTTGCATCTTAATTTAACCCATTTCTATTAATCTGTATATCACCATGTGGCAGTGGCTTACCGGCAAAGATTTGGCCTGTCTGACTCTGGTGACTCCATGGTGACCCTCTGATTCTGCCTTCTTTCTCCCAACATGCTATTTAGTTTTCCCCGCCTACCTAAGTTCTACCCTATCAACAGGCCAAGGCAGTTCTTTATTCATTAACCAATAAAAGGAACACACAGACAGAAGGACCTCCCACAACACAAAACAATAGTAATGATTTCCCCCATAGAGCCTAGCCCATGGACTTTTGATCAGGTCACAATACCAGGCATGAATTTCCTCCTGTGAAGCTGACTCAAATCCAAGCAGAAAGATGTTGGTTACTACCCCCTAAAAGTCATGCCACTGGTTCAACAGCGGGTATATCTTTTCTGGCAGATAAATTATTACAGGACAAAAGCTACACCACTGGGTAAGACCATGATAACTTCTCCCCCTCATGGATGCATAGCACTTTTCAACATTGTGAAGATAGCCAGCAAGGAGGAAACTTCCAGTTCAGTTTCAGCTTCATCTCTATGTCCTGTAACCAAGATATGTGATGTCTTCAGTAATTGGATCTTACCTTCAAGCTCCCATCTACATCCAATAGCAAAAAGAATAGCACATGTTTGAAGAACATTTAAACCTTCCTGAGCAACAACTCAAACAGAAATGTCCTACATTTGGCACTGAGATTTTCATTTCATTACCTGTGGTTTCTGTAGTTGGCATTATATATAATAGTTCAAGTAGCAGTATGCTACATTGGTAGTTAATAAAGTGGCTTCTTCAGTACCCATGGTTCACTTTATCTAAAAATATCTGTTACTAAAGGCATTTTGAAAAGACCATGGAAACTTAACATACTATAGAGTCTAAAATCTATACAACAATTTAATATAAACTTAGAATAGAAAAAATGGTTCTATTTCAATACATCAGTGACTATCTACACTCCTCCCCCCACCACCACCACCATTTACGGTATTAATGAATATAATGTAAAGACAGCATTCACAAGAAAGACGTGTGGTAGTTCAAGCCAGACAAAATCTTTGCCAAGAAGGGGAAGGTGGGCACAAAATCCATATCTAGCTAAGGAATTATTGGTCTTTGAAAGTTTTGGGGTAAAAGACTTTAATGGTGTCTTCAGGTCAGCCAGACTCTGGGGCAGCCCACTCCCAAGTTGGCTACACAAACTGGACTCTAAGAGATGGGTACTTAAGGTAGGGTGCAGAGGGGAATGATTATAGGAGGAGTTGAGGATAGGGTGAATATATTCAAAATACATCATGAAATTCCAAAAAATAAAAATATTGCTTAAAAAATTTAAACTATTGAGTTTGCAATAGATAAGAACCGGAATAGCCAATGAAAAAGAAGGGGCAGTGACTGAAGAGAGTTTCTGTGTGGCCCTGGTAAGCCAACCATGCTCCCCAGGGGAAGACCACACATGCAAGAATAGTTGGGTAGCATAGGTTGGTTTTGCCAGATTTTAAGAAGGTAAAAATAGGTTTTAAAAACACAAGTTGGTAGGTAAGGAAGTACAGTGGATCTGGGAAGAACTGAGGGAGAGAGGCTGGATATGATATTTTTAAAAGGATAAAACTCAAAGAGCTGTTTTTATTTTTTCAATTTTTCTGGGTTTTATATTTTTAACTGAAATAGAATTACATTGCTTTCCTTCCTTTCCTCCCTCTTGCCCATCCTAGTTACCCACCGTCAAATCTCTCCCATGTCAATCCCCCCTCAAGTTAATAGCCTTTTTTTTCTGTATTAGTGTTACATACATGTGCATTAGTGGTGTGTGTTTGGTTTCAAGAGTGACCATTCTGCATT